GGCTGAACTTTTCTGGAGAAGGAGGTTGTGTTAGAACTCTTCACAGAAAGAAATCCAACAGAAGATATGTATCTATAGCTATGTTATCTACCTGTATCCCTTCAATGTTGCTAATGGTTTCTTCCTTCTCACATTTAGATTATCTGTCTATGGATACAGACATGTAAAATAAGGAACTGGCTCATGTGAGTAGAGAAGCTAAGAAGTCCCAGGTCTGCAGTCAGCCCCCTGGAAACCCAGGAGAGACAACTGTGGTATTCCACTCTAAAAGGCAGCAGGCTTGAGACTTGAGATGAGCTGGTGATTTAGTTTGTGTCACATGGCAGGAAAAGATGTACACCCCAGGTCAAGGTGATCAGGCAGGGGGAGTTCTCTCAAACTTAACCTTTTTGTTACATTTAGACCTTCAGTTGATTGTATTAGGCCTACGCACAGAAGATGGGCCACCTGCTTTGCTCAGTCTGCCAATTAAAATACTCATCTCACTCAGAGACATCCTCATAGACACAACCAGAATTATTTTTGGCCAGATTTCCAGGCATCTCGTGGTCCAGTCGAGTTGCCACATAAAATTAACTACCACAGAAACAAACTGCCATTACTTAATGCAAGAAATACGAAAAGCTTTTAGAAGTTGGGAAAGTCCACAAACTAAATTCTGATCCAGAGGATCACACAGGAATGCTGCCCTCTGGATACCTTGATTTTAGGCCAGTGAAACCAGTTCTGACTTCCAGAACTGGAAGATGGCATGTTAGTATTGCTTAAGTAAGTTGCTAATTTTGTGGCAATTTTGCATTGCATCAATAGGAAGCTAATATACACCATTTGGTATATGGCTAGACATATTTTTTTAAAAAATTAAATTGTCTTGATCAGGAGTGATTTTGGGGATGTTGAATTCATTAAAGTGTTTTTGTCCTGAAACAATTTTGGATTTAGTAAGTGTTTTTCTATCACTTAGTGACACAATCGTGGTTTTTGTCTTATATTCCATAGATATGGTATACTATATTAATTGAATTTAGCATGGTAAACCATCTTACATTTGTAAAATGATCTTGCTTAGCAATGCTTCAGAATTTTTCATAAGTTGCTAGACGTTGCTAGTATTTTGGTGAGAATGCTTGTATCAGTGTTCATAAGGGTTATTAGATTTTACTTTTGCTTTGTTTTTTTTTCTGTTTTCAAGATAGTTTTAGATTTGTGGAATGAATCAAGAGTAAGGCCTCTTGTTCTAGTCCTAAAAGGTTTATAAAGAGTTAGAATTAATTCTTTAAATACTTGGCAGAACTCCCCAATGATTACCTTTGTCTATATTGTACTTGGAGTCCGTTGAGCTCATTGAATTTCTAGAATAATATTTTCCATCAAATTTAGGAAGTTTTCAGCCATTACTTCTTTAATTTTTTGTTTTTCTCAGTTTTTTTCTGACACTCCTCTTAAATATAGGTTGCCGTAAAGTTGTGTCACATTCTTCTTTGAGACAATGCTTATTTTCTCTTTCATTAATTTCCCACTGTTCTTTGAATGCATAATTTCTGTATGCTATCAAGCTTATGCATTCTTTTTTTGTGTATGGTAGTAAGATCTAGACCAAAACCAGTGTCTGCAAATGTCACATAAGCACTCTGCCAGTGAGATACATCCCCAATCCTTTTTACTTTTATTTGGAGACAAAGTCTTGCTGAGTTTCTCAGGCCACCCTTACACGTACGATCCTCTTGCCTAAACCTTCTCAGTACTTGGAACAACAGGCGTATAAGATCATGCGTCACTTACATTTATGTATTCTGTTTTTGAGTTCAAACCTGTTATCAGTTCCTGGTAGCGAGTATTTGATTTTTCTAACTGTACCTTCCAATTCTTTATTTTCAACTTAGTTTACTTTTTAAAAGGTAATTTCCATTTCTTTATTCATATTCTTTACTGGATAAAGCTTATCACCATGCTTTCCTTACTTAAGCATGATTTTATTTGGTTTTTAAAAAACATTTGCAACACCTGTTTTGAAGTTTTTGTTATATCAGTTATCTTAGTGCCCTAATTAGCAATTTCTGTTGTATATGCATTTGTTTTCCTTTGCATGGATTACGCATTCCTGTTTCCTTACATGTATCATGGTTTTTGGGTTGTTAAAATGAAGATTTTAGATTTTACATAGTTGCAACTCTGGTTAATTTTTTTTATTTTATTTTTGAGACATGATGCCAGCATGTAGCCCAAGCTGGCTCGGATTTCAAGATTATCCTGACTCAGTCTCCTAGGTATAGGAAGTACTGGTGTACAACACAACACCCACCTGTCACAGCAACCCTTGGTACCAGTTTCTCACCCTGCTTGGTGCAACCCTTGATACCAGTTCCTCACTAACCCTTGTTGGTGCTTATTGTTTATGTTGCTTTCTTTATCAGTGATTGGATGGAATATTTCAGTGTAGTCTATTTGCCTTATGTGTGATGCGTCCACTGTCTACTCAGATGGGAAGTTTACAGTCACCCTAAGGTGACAAAGTTTTCAGCAGCCTTTGACTTCCTCCCTCTCCGTTGTCTATGTTAAGCCTTCAGTCTCTGCTGGTATTACACCAAGCTCTTCCCTTTCAGTACCCAATACAATTGTTCTACATTGTCACCCATGCTCTTGGGTAAAATTTCTCCATTTGCTTGTCTAGATTCAGCTTCTGTAGTAAGAACTGCCTTGTTAGCTCCAAGCACCTGCAAGATATGGAGGCCAATCTCATTCACACATTTTGCGTTGTTTTACTTCTGAGTTCTTCTAGCAAAACACATCCTTATGAATTAATGTCTTTCTTTACCAAGAAAGAGGGTAGATTTCCACAAAAATTGTGTTACATTCCTTCAAGTCTCATGTTGCAGCATCAGATCATCATCTTTATCCAGGCAGGGAGTAACAGGGAGCCCTGTCCAGCAAGATCTGGTTCACAGCCCTTTGTGTTTCTTCTTTCAGTTCTTTAAGGACAGTCGTTGATCCTTTCATCTATAGTTCTTGCATTTTGTTGATCTCTTTTCCTTCTTACTGACCAATTCCTTTTGCTCTAATACTGTGTTATAAAACTATATATAACCTCCTTTATATGTAATGTTTCCTCACATACTGCAGGAGCTAGATGCTGGTTAAAATTTGTATTTGTGGAAGCCTTCCAAGCTAGCACCGGGACAAAGAAGTAGAATCTTTCTCTGTTGCAATATCTCTCTCCATTCCTCTTTACTGACAAAGCTTTGATGCCAACAGATGAACAAAATCATGGAGGCTTTCAATTTAAATTTTGCAGAGTGGGAAACAACTGTGTATTTTGAAATTAGAGATATTAAAGTGATAACCAAGAGAGTGGATGTATTGATGCATGGAAAAGTGCATAAGAATGAGAGTAAATGACACACAGCATGGTAGAACCTCATAAAAAGTGTTGGAGCAAACAATCCAGGCAAGAAAGAACATTCTCTGCATCATTCCTTTGGGTAAAATTTTAAAACTTGCTAAACGAGCCTTGCTTGTTAGATGAAGGACATTGGTGGCCTTTTGTGTATGTGTAACAGGGGTGGTGGTTGTGACAGAGAGAAGAGGACATCAGAGATGTACTGTGGCAAAATTTGGGGGCTGGTTTTTTGAGTTTGTTCGTTTTGTGAAAGTTTCTCCAGATGAACACTTACAGTTTATGTGTACCTTTACATAAGCATATGTGTAACCAGATGAATTAATTAGAGGCAGAAAAAAATCTACGTAAGAATGACAAATTATTTACATAGCCATATTTCAGTCCTGAGGTAGGAGATTAGGGCACCATGGCTGGAGCAATTGGGGATAACCTGCCAACTGACGAGACTTGTTAACCATGAGTAAAGAGAAGCAAGGCTTGAGCCTGACAGAAGATCAAGCTGAGCCCTGCATCTGGTACCAATCTTCTGACATGAAAACGTGCCAAACCTTGTCCCTGATACTGATCTTCTAGCACAAGATCAAGCATGGCCACCTGGACTTAACGCTTTGAAGAAGATAGAAAAGGATAGCCGCAAACAGTTGTCACCCTGTCATTCTTATAGTGGCCCATTCTGCTTGTAGGATGTATCTCCTGTTTTTCCTTCAAAGGACCCCTTTCCCCTTAAGCACTGCTTTAATGTTTCTTTTCCTTTCCTTCTTGTTTTTGCCCTAAATAAATGTTGGTCTTTCACATCCAGCTGTTCTGACCAATTCTTTGGATGAGACAAGAAGAGCCTGGAAAGTACTGTTTGTTCCTATGACACCCAATAAAAGCACCTTTATTCACATTTGCCCAGAAGTGGAGCTGTCACAAATGTCCATTGCTGGGTGAACGGGTGAGCCAGGTACGGTTCTTTGGCTGTGCTTTTCTGACACAGTACTTGCCCAGCATGTAGAAATCCCTACTTAGTCCCTGCCTGGGCTTTCTCTTCCTCTCCACCTTATGGAGCAGAGGACAGAGAACGTGGCTGAGGCCACGGAATGAGCAAGTGGACAAGGCAGCATTTAAGTGCAGGTGGACTGGGGTCTTTGTCAATCCTCTTACCTCCCATGCCCAGCACTGGAGCACAACACTGGGTTTTAAAAGGCAGCTAACTAAGGACTTGGGAATGAGATGTGCTTTCGCCACTGACCAGATTCTGTTGCAAGATGGGGGTCTTGTCTTCTGTTTTATAGTTAAAAGGTCAGGATATGGGTACTTCAGTCACCCATGGGAGACCTCGACTTCAGAGCTCCAGGAGGTAGAATGCCTACACGGGCCCTGTTGATCTTTGTTAAGATCAAATTACCCCTGAGTGACATCCTGAATTACCCCTGGTGGGCAGGATGGATTTTCCTGGCCCCTGTATGGCTTAGAGAGCAGGCTTCTCCAGCTCCTACTGCCCAGCTCCCATCGTCCAGGTCAGGCCACTGTGTCAGGCAAGGCACAAGAGTAGGTGGAGGCAGAGCCCATATAACCAGCCATGGTCCTCTTCACACAGATTCCCAGGCTGGTTCTCGGGAGTCCTTAGCCCAGACATGGGTGTCCCGTTGCTGGTGCTGCTCCTGGGTCTGTTGATCTTTCACCTCGGGCTCTGTGTTTGGGTCGTCTTGAAGCATTTCCTCATGGCAGAGCTGCCCTCTACCTTGCAACATACTGTGAAGATGAGATTTCTGCACTGTATGCTCCTATATGTGATCACTTTGGTGAGTTTACTGTCAGGCCCCATTGGAGATTGGGGCTGCTGGCTCTGTACATTTCCTCTCCCTCCCTCTAATTTTCCTTCTCTTTGCAGATTCCCCTGAGGCAGAGTTTGCCACACTCTTGTATCTGCTATTGTATTTCTCTTTCCTGTCTCCTTCCCTCCCCTTTTCCTTTCTTCTCTTCATTTACTCCCTCCTGTATTTTTCCTTTTCTCTTCCATGTTCCCTTTGCTATATCTCTCCTTTCTTTTCTTTTTTCTTTTTCTTTCTTTCTTTCATTCCATTTTTTAAAGCTTTTCCCTCCCTCACCTTCACTTTCTCCTTTTGCTTTCCTTCACTGCTTTCTATCTTTTCTTCTTTTGTCCTTCGGCCTATGCTTTATTCCCTCATCCTTGTTTTTGTACTTTCTTGCCCTCCTATTTTTTCCTTCTTTCCTGCCTTCTATGCTTCCTTCTCTCCTTTCTGTTTGCTTTAATTCCCTCCCTGTTGTCTTCCCTCTTCCATTTCTTCCTTCCCTCTCTCCTTCCCCATTCCCTATTGTCTTTACCTCCCTCTAATTTCCTTCCTTTCTCTCTTCGACATCAAACATTCATGCAGCATCAACCAGTAACTCTTTTCCAAGACCTTCACAGCTTCAGACCCATTCCCTTAACACCAAGGGCTTGATACTTGCTTTCAAGAAGCATTCTTCTCTCTCCCTGCATTTACTTGCTCCCAGGTGCTTGTCCCTTTTTCATGCTTTCCTCAAAACGTAAGTACCTTAACGACAGAGGCTCTCATATTCAGCTTTTTATCTCTGGAATCAAAGGCAGGGCCAGGCACCACACTGGTACTATCTCTTGATGAAATCATAAAGGACTTCAGGTAGCATTTCAGGATGGCTTTACCAACCAGGCCCTAAGTAGAGTTTTGGTGTGGGATGGTGGCAGAAGGCTGCACCTGTGACAACTCCAGGAGGTTTTTGTAGGAGGCATGCAACTTGAGTTAATCATAATGACTCTATTCTGGGGACCTAGAAGGAGCTCAGCAGATCACACTGATTACCCGTGAGGTCAATAGTGAAAGAGGTCAGAGCTAAGAAACATCAACCAGACCCAGAAAACCTGTGTCTTTGCATACTGCCTTTCACTGGCTATGTGATCAGGGACCATTTGGAAACTTCCTTGTTCTCAGGTTCATCTGTTAGTGAGGAGAATATTTGTTTCACCAGCTCAGCAAAAACGTTAGATGGCATGCGATAGGGATTGATGGGTCCAGGCTTGTTTGACTAAAAAACAAAACAAAACAAAACTTTTTCACCATAGTCATGGATCACTTCAAGTCTGAGCTCTACCCCAACCAATTTAGAAGTCTTGGACATCAGCATCTCTGAGCTAGGGTCTCTCATGTGCTCATCTCTGAGCCCCTCTGAGCAGCCTCTACCAGAGGTTGTCACTGGCTACTAAGTTTGTGGGCTGCTGTTGAAGAGAAATCCTAAAAAAATCCCAAAAAGGTTAGGAAGATCCCATTTTTCAGGTTCCCAATCTATCTAAGGTCCTTGTTTTAATTCTGTGGCCCCAGACCACCCTGTAACTTCTTGTGACAAAAATGGAACCAAAATATGAGGACAGCGGAAGAGAAGAGCCAAAATAACAAAGCACTTAGTCTAGGAACTGCGTTACCTTGTAGTTGTGCTTCACGCAATATCCTGATACTGGCTTGTTTATAATAGAATGAACATATTTATAAACACACTTGGCAAATACAAGGGGTGATTGAAAAATATGGGCAATGAGTAAATTTTAAAAATTAATACAGTAAATGACACACTGCCATTAACACCATTGCACCCAAAAAAGCACCCCTTGACTCTGGACTTGTTAATGTCATCATTCTTTCATCATCACTTTCTAACGCACTTTTGGAAGTTCTCTTCTGTGAAGGTCTTTACATGGTGTGATCAAAATACCATTGTATGGTATTGAATGCTGTTGTCCAGTGCTGTCCCACAGAAGGGCGGGCTCCCGAAACATTATTGAAGTGTTCTCTTCTGTCTTATTCACTGCATGGCACTATGTGACTTCTGGCTCTTCTCTAAAGTAAAAATGACTAGGACAGGTAAATATTTTTAATCCATTCAGGATACCAATGTAGACTCAACAGCCAAAGTGAAGATACTCATGAAAGAATACTTCAAGAACTGTTTCAGAAAGAGACAAGCAAGATTGGATAAATGGAAAGTGAGGATAAGTATTCTGAAGGGAATTAATGGCATTGTGCCTTTACCATGATAAAATTTAAAAACTTTTCACACAACATTGTAGTTTTAATTACTCCTCATATGCAATCCTTTGTCTTTACTACACTCCTTTTCAGCTCAGAACCCGGGTTCCCAAATGATCACAACACTCTTTTCTGGACACAAACACAGCTTCATGATCCTCCACATCAGAGCTCTGGGTGTGCAGGGGTGAGTGCTGAAACAGGTCACCAAGCAGCTGTGCTGTTTCTGGCTGGGTAGAGTCCAGCAGAAAACCTAAAAGAGCAAAGATATCAGTTGAATACCTTGGGCAATTGACTTTCTTCAATTTATTTTATTTTTATCACTATAACACAAATTCAGCTGCCACTTGGGCAAACTCACACCCATGTAAGGCTCTAACAATACTATGGAGTAGACAATTACTAAACAGAGGAACTCTTTGTCTCAAGTCCTGAGAATGGGAAGATCAAAGAATGTGGCATCAGCAATGAGTATTGCCTGGCACCTTGCTTCATCCCTTGACAGAAAGGAAAGTGTACAAATGGGCAGAGCTCATTCTTTTGCCAGAAGCCCAATCCAGAGATAACTCAGTTATTCCCTCCTGGAACTGAATCCATTCAGGGAGGAAATGTAATCCCAAATATTGAGTTTAGTTATCTAAGTATTGTAATCTTCTTTTTAGTTTTTCTCACAATCCAAAATGTTATATTTGTAATCTCATTGAGACATTACTGGAATCTCAGCAAGTTGATTTTAATCTACCACCACCAATGTAACCCACGGCGAGAATAAAGACATCAAGACATATTTCAAGTTAAGGGCAGCCAAGGAGTTTTAAGTCTAATCCTTGTGGTATATAAACTCTTGTCCCCTGAGGAGTCATAGCCTCTTGACCTTGAGACTCATACCCAGTTGACATTTTTAGAGCTATTGGCTCTAGCATCTCAGCTGTGCTCATATCTTGTGTATATCTTTTATGGAGAACACTATGTGAGGAAACAGGACTGTCTGTTGGCTTTAGAGATTATATATTAACATCTCAGCTTGCCTTATTCATAATATTTGGAGCCAATTAAAAATACCCTAGTCAGCTTTTTACATGTCAATATAAAAATGAGTTTCCAAATAGTCAAAGTCACAGTAATTTTTTTACATTCAAACGAAGTCACTAAAGTTATCTCCCACAGGGCGGAACTGCCTAATCACCATAGAGAAGTGCCATCTCTTAATACTGCTACAATAGAAATGAAATTTCAACATGACCCTTGGAGGGAGCAGATGTAAGAGCTCAGTTCCCTACATGAACACAACCTACAGCCCACAGAAACACAATGAGCAGATGATACGTGCAGGCAGTAGAAGAAAAAAGTGACAAGTGTTAGCAGTTGTGATTTGGGTAAGACTTGCCTTCCAGACTCTAACCTTCCCTCGCTTACGTTCTTCCTCTTGTTTCCAACAGGGCAACATACTAGACAAGATGAAAATTTGCTCCATGCCCAAGTTTTCCCGCTTTATACATGACAGATTGAGCATAAAAAAGAAGGACCCTAAAATGGTGGTGACAGACCTGCACTTTGGAACAATCCCCGTGAGGCTGTTCCAGCCCAAGGCAACATCCTGCAGCCCCCGTCGAGGCATAATCTTCTACCATGGAGGAGGTTCAGTGGTTGGCAGCCTTGGTAAGGAGCTTCTGCATGGCATGGGAGAGGAATAACCCTAAGTAGCTTCTGTCACAGAACAGGCAGAACTTTAGCCAAGATCCCAGGAGAAGTTCATGGGGTGAGTCAAATGAATCACGGGTGAGAGCTTCTTTAGGGGAGCACAGAGAGAAGGCTAGGGGCTTATATGATAGTCTGAGGCCTCTGACAGCACAATGGATGTTCACTTCTCCTTCTCTCCTCACTCACAGTTGGGGACACAGACCTGTCCCATTTGTGCCACAGTGACCTGAAACTCACACATTGTTCTCAGCTCTTCAGGTCCATATCCACCTTCTCTTGCCCACCTTCTTCTCTTCTAGGGGAACTCCTTGTATCTGTTCTTTTGTGCTTGCAGCTCATTTAACCTCGAAAGCTATCTCCAATATTGAATATGTAGGAAGCTTGTCTGTCTCCAATATTGAATGTGTAGGAAGCATGATTGAGGTTCTGAGTTACATCCCTAGAAGGGAAAAAAACAAAAAGTCCCCAACAGTAGTTATGCCATCTCCTGAACATTCAACTGTCTTGAAATTTCTTCTTCCAGATCAATTAGTCCACCATCCTTAATTTCAATCTCAGACAAAATCTCTGGATATGAGCAAAATGCAGACAAACTTTCTTCCAAGCCATAACACACATCATCTGGAGTCCAACAACCAATGCAGTCCTTTTTCCCAACAGAAACCTCCCAAGCCTGGTCATATCATCAAGATTTCTATCAACTTTCTGGTCTTCTGAGTTCTGATGGGAATCTCTGATTCAAAACAGCCTAAGACATTCTCCTTCTCCTGAAGAATAACTCCTTCAGAAGAACTTTCAAAACTCTGAACCTTTGCAAATGCTTCCCACAAGGCATTCTCAAAGCTCTTGAACCACATGGTCAGGTACAGTCACAGCAACAACTCCACTTCTCTGGTACCAAATTCTGTGTCTGTTACTTTTCCCACATTGCTGAAACAAAACACTGGACACTCAAAACTAAAGGAAGAAAGGTTAATTTAGCTTACAGTTTGTGGAGTTTTCAGTCCATACCTGGCTGACTCCAAGGCAGATGGCAACATTTATGGTGGTGAAAGACAGCAAAAGAGCAAAAGGGAGGAGAGGGAGAGCAAGTTTCTGTCCCTCCCTTTTATTGTATGCAGGTCTAGCACTCACATCCATAATCCCAGCATTGCACCAAGAATTAATCACAAATTCTAGAATCCCTCCCTCATGAATGCATGAGGCTTTGGGGGGACAGCTAGACACAAACAATAATACCTGGTATGACTTAGAAGATCCTGATGCCTTGGACCTTACCCAGATCCATTGTTCCTAGTGGTGGGAGAGGACATGGGCAGACTCCTGGTATCTTTTTGTGCTGACAGCAGGAACTTGGCAGAATTGAGTAGGAGAAATACTTGGTAGGTCTTGGGCTCACTACTGGCTCTGCAACACAGCTCACTAATATTAGTGTATCTGCCTTCTCAAGCTTCAATTGCAATATCCTATTAATATATGTGTCCAATACAGTCATCACTTATATCCTAACCAATGCAAATATATCAATTTATAATATAATATAATATAATATAATATAATATAATATAAATATATATATAACATAAATATATCAAGTTATTAATATTTCCATGCAGGCATACCCAATTTGATTTACTTTGCCTTTGTCCATTTCAGATCCCTAAAACTTCCTGGTCCTCAATTTCCCCCAGTGTATTATTAGTGAATAAAAAACATGGTTTTCATGCTCCCTCCTCAAGTAATGGAATTGGAGCAGATGTCTGACTTTTCTCTGACAGAGCCATTCACAGTCGCTTCAGAGGTTAGAGTAGAAATATAGATAGGACAATACCCTGTGCCCACAGCTGTTCTCCCTGGAACTGTGTGGGGAGATACCCTCCTTGTGAGTGATCATGGATCTGGTCTTGGCTTACAGATTCGTACCACAACTTCTGTCTTTTACTCGCTCGGGAAACGGATTCTGTGCTGTTGGCTGTGGGGTGAGTTTCTGAGATAGTTCTCAGCTTTTACATTGTTAGAAGAAGGTGTGAGGGGGAATGCTGAATGACTGTAGAGTGGTGAGGAGTCCCTGACCAAGAGGCACTCATGGACATGAGGCCAGGACACTGGCACAGCTCCATTCAAAGAAGCAACATCCCAGAAAGATGTTCACATCACGAGAGTGGCAGAGCAGGGATGTGAGAGTGAGTAGTTCATAATGTGATCCCCAATCTGCTTTGGAATATTTCACAGCCAATTACTAAAAATATGGAAAGGTGCCCCACGATGTGGCTGAATCTTAACACTACAATATATTAAGTGAAATGACTTTAAAAATTACATAAACCTGGTAATTGTTTTACAGTTTAAAGTAAACCAAAGTAACACCTTTCATAAGTATACATATTTCAAACAAAACCATACCACTTAGGGAAGGAAAAAGATGATGTATCCAGCCTTCGAGATAACCCTCCTCTATTGCTGGGGCAACATCTGGTTGGAAAAGACAGTGGGATGATCAGAGTGACCATGACTTAAGGTCACGTTCAAGGTCTTGATGGTGGTTGACATGGTGGTTCTGTAGATTCTCATTGTGTCATTAAGTAACTACCTACCTATCCTACTACCTACAAACTGCCAGCTACACAGAGACCAACTAGTACAACTTTGATCCTTTGGAAACAAGATTGCCTTTGAATTTATGGAAAGAGAGTGGGAAAAGCTCACCAGGATTCTAGTTCTCATTCCTAGAGATCTCTGCATGTAAGGAAGAGAAATTTTAGAGGAGACAGGTGAGAGAATCAAAAACCAGCTGTGTTAGAGTGTGAATGTTTGATGGTTCCCTCTAATCTTGGTTACTCTCATTCTGCATAGAGAGTGCATCTTTGTGACTCCAGCAGGCTATTTATTTATTTATATGGTACCAGCAGTCAAACTCAGGAACTTGCACTTGCCAGGTGCTTGTGCTGTTGAGCTATATCCACAGCCATCCAGTAGGTCATTTATCAGTACTGTTTCTCTCTGCAGACACTAAAGAGGGCAACATTTTTTTCAATATTTCATAACTCGTAACTGCTACCATTGTGTCTGAACTGCTGCCATTAGAGTCTATGTCTCCAAAGACTGCAGGAATAATTATGGCCCCTTGCACAGCAAGTGCAGAAAGGTGCAAGTGTGTGCCTACTTTGACATACTAAGGAAAGTGCTTAGTGTATCTTTATGCATATATCTGTAGAGACTAGGTCTATGGGCCAGAACAGTTCCGGCATGATGATGTAACAGAATGATTGCTATAATGATCAGACAGAAGGGGAACTTGGGGCTGGAAGGGGCATGCAGTGGGTGATGTCTGGGAAGACATGCCTTAAGGACCTGAAAAGGGGGAAATTTTCTCTCCTCTTCTTTCCTTTCTCTGGCTGAAAGCTACTTTATTTAGATTTTGGCTTGAGTTTTCCTATTCCTCTACTGACAGTTAATGTAATACCTGAAGATTTCATTTGACCAGGAGAGGGTAGAGATCAAAACTAGCACAAACATTTCAAGCATACACACTTCTGCACAGGCAAAGTTTAAGCAAGAGGGTCTTTGGCTGGAGAAAGTTGAGCAATTTTTCAGACAGAGGGACCAAAGGAGTCTTCTAGGAACCTTAGGTAGGAGGATAACAAGTTGAAGTTTCACATGGATAAATTAGTGACATAGTGAGACACTCTCCCAAAAATAAAAACTGCTGAGGATTTAATTCAGTGTGAAAGGTTGGGTTTCAGTCTAGTTTTAGTTCAGTGGTACAGCACTTGACTAGCATGCACAAGGCCCTGGGTTTGATCCCCAGCACTAGCAAAATAGAATAATGCTGGTTTCATTCAGTACTGAAAAAAATCTTTGTGTGACACACTTGGACTACTGGATAGTCACAGTGATCATGTTCTAGAGGCTGAGGAATTTCTGTGTGTTTGTGCTATCATTGTTCAGTGCAAATCATACCAGCCTTCTACTTGATAAGTAGAAAGAGGCCTAATTTTACTCAGAAACCACTGGGTTTCTTTTACAGCTGGCATCATCAGGCATAAGATTCCAGTCTTTCTGGAGGTGACCTTCTGAAAAAATGCAAGGGCTGGATAGTAGAGACATATACCAGCACAAATGAGCAGTAGATGAGACTAATCCTATCTGGTCATCTTGGACAAAACATTTATTAAGCTATCGATATGTTTATATACAAAACTGAGTAGAATCTGACTCAAAGATGGGTTAAAGTAGCAAAGGGAACAGATACAATATGAAGATACAGATTCCTTGCTGGTTATTCCATTTCAGTCATACATAAGAAGTCTGTAGCCTACAGTGAAGGGTCAGAATTCTCAGCAAAGCAGCTTTTAGGCCTCTGGATAGTAACTAGGTTGTCTGTCACTGTACTCCAGATGGTAGAGATGCTGTCTAAAGTAAGCCTAGGGGAAAACTAGTAAGGTATTGTCCGGGTGTGTCAACTCCAAAACAAGTGATTTTGAATTGACTGACAGGAAGTGAAGCTACATTTGTTCTTGGTGACAACCTCGTATTGTATTTAGACATTATGCCTCTGTGACTTTGATGGGCCTGATAAAACATGTCATCCTACAAAGGCTACTTTTTTTGTCATTCCAGTCTTTGGTGATAATACTGTCACTACCTGACTCAGGACCACCAGTAGGTTCACTTACCAGTTTTCTGTCCTCACCGCTTGTTCCCCATCCAAAACCAATAGCTTTCAATTTGGTGGGAAACAAAGCATGAGCTAGGAAGTTAGAATCGTGGACAGCTAGGTTTAGGGAAGGTCTTCAGATTAACATAGACAAACAATGGGGATACCTCCAGTTACTTCTGAGAGTCTTTCAAAAATGTAACTGAGGAAGGTCTCCAAAGCACTGTAGAGGACGCTAAAGGTCAGTTGACCTGCAGGACATCTGTGAACAGTGTTCTTTGTTTCCTCCTTACCCCTTAGGTACCGGAAGCTTCCTTACTACCATTACCCTGCCATTACCACTGACTGCCTGAATGCTGCCATCCACTTCCTGAAGTGGCTGAAAAGCTATGGTGTGGACCCTTCCCGGGTTGTGATCTGTGGAGAAAGCATTGGAGGAGGGGCTGCTGCCCATGTCACCCAGGCCTTGGTGGGCCATAAAGATCTCCCCCAAATCTGGGCTCAGGTCCTGATTTATCCACTTATCCAGGCTATCAATTTCCAGTTACCATCTGCTCAGCAGAACCAAAATATTCCATTCCTCACCTGGGACTTCTTGATAATGTGCATTTGTAGATATATGGCCATTGACCTCTCCTGGAAAGATGCCATACTGAAAGGTGCTTTTATACCCCCAGAGACCTGGAAGAAGTACAGGAAATGGCTCAGCTCTGACAACATCCCCAAGAGTTTCAAGAAGAAATACCAGGAACCTGAGTATCCTGGGCCTTTTAATGAGGCTGCCTATCTGGAAGCTAAACATCTGTTAGATGTACACCATGCACCACTTCTTGCAGATGATGAGACCATTGCTCAGCTTCCTGAAACATTTCTAGTGAGCTGTGGTCATGACATACTCCGTGATGATGCCTTGCTCTATAAGAAACGCTTGGAAGACCAGGGGGTTACTGTGAGCTGGTATAATGTGGAGGATGGCTTCCATGGATGCATGGTTTTATATGATAAGAAGTTTTTCTCTTTTTCATGTTCCTGTAAAATTTTCAATGCTGTAGTCAGTTACATAAAGGGCATATGACAGTACACTGGGACCACGAATAGTGTGAGACCCAAATACTTCTGCCACACTGGGGTGGGGGTTCTGCTGCGTTCTATTTTATCTCAGAAGAAAATTCTAATCCATCATGGCCCAGTTAGTGAGGATAAGATGGAGTGATAAACTTTCTGGATTTCATTTCCCAGAAAATAAAAACTTTGTCTACCAATACTATCATTGTTCAGTCTTGCATTTATCAGCATTCTGTAACATTGAGAAATAAATATCAAAGGAAGAAAATTAAGCACCTTTAAATTTGTCTTAGAGTTTTAACCCATAATATCTCAGCAGAATGAGTGCTAACAACTTGTCCCATTGTCCATGGTGAACCCATAATCATGATGACAAAACATTGCTGGGGCTATGTCGCTTCTGGAGGAAGGGTCACTACATTGCTTCTGGATCCATGTCACTAGTAAAATCTCAGGTCTAAGTGGCACCAGCTGGCCTGAAAATATTCTTACAACTCATCTTTCCCTTCATCAAAAGATCTATAGAGTGAACTTCTGAAGGATTTAGAGGAGTTTTTAGAAAAAAGTGAGGCACATGATACAGAGGCAAGAGGAGACATATCAAAAAATATGGTGAACTATGAAGAGCCAAGAACTCTAGACTCAGGTCTTTAATGGGAATTCTTAAAAATGGTGCCTCATCTCTAAGAGGATTTTCTCAGAGCCAAGTGTGGTTGGAAAACTCTAGATGCTATCTAGGTTATCTAAAGCACATTCTCTAAGGGAGCTAGACCATCCTCACTTCTGCAAAGCACACTGCCTTGCTTGATCAATGCCACTCTCTCTGGTCCCATGGAAAGAAAAGGGGACCTCTGGTTTGCTTATTGGAAAGGTCCACCTTTGCAGAATAGGCCCAGGTTTACTTGATACACCCTTCAAAGTTCCATGTCCACTGCTGTCCAGTTCCACTTAAATGATGGAGCTGCTGCTTTCCATGCAGTCTCTCTAGGTATCAACACCTTCACCAGTGACTGGTGGATCAGGGTTTCCTGCAGGTGACAAGGGTCCTGCAATGAAGGCTAGTGTCCACATAGGCAATCATTGGTTTCAACTTCTAGAGTATGAGAAGACATTGTATTTTTTGAGGTTATGTCAGCAGCTTTGATGGAAGGAGTATCTAGTTTCTGTTCCCCTGTAATAACAGCAATACACATGTGGTAACTTATCATAATATGCCTTCATTACCACATACTTTCTGCACATCAGCAGTTTAGGTTTGGCTTAGATTGGCTTTTACCTTATGATCCCACTGGGCCATAATGAAAGTGTTGGGCATTGTTCTCACTTGAAGCTCATCTGGGAAAATATATGCACCCAAGACTGCCTATTCTCCCTTAGGTTGGAGACTCAGTTCATCAGTGACCAGACAAAGTCATCACCTTTGGCTTTCATGGGTCACGCAGAGTGCCTTATGCCCCCCAAATGGCACTTGCTTCCTTAAAGTAGCAATAGAGAGACAGATGGGCCTCAGTGGCCACCACCAGATTTACTGCAATGTAATAAGGAACAGGCAATCGCCCCATATGTACTGTCATCATTGTCACATTCTATCTGAAGCAAGTCACATAACTTTCTCACACATGAGGTTCACATTGGATGTGAACAACATGGGTGAAAGATCACAGGGCTACCTCTGAATGTGCCATATGCAGCAGGACATAAAACAAAGGTGACCAGAAGAACAGTGAAGCTGACTGATTGGCTTATGACACAGAGGCTGGTACACACCTATGGAAGGGCCCATCTTTTGGAGCTGGTGACAGCTGGTTGCCCCAGGAAGGCTCCTGCTGCCTTTCTCAGCTCTACCTATCTTCTTCTTTCATACCACTCCTCTCTGTTCTCTCAGGGTATCCTCCTTGGATCCTCTTTCCAGACTGTTTAAGACAGCTGTTTTCTGCCTTGGGCCATCAGGATGGAGGGGTCAGTTGTCTGCTTTTGCTCTTAAAATTCCATCAGACTTAAGAACACCAGAATGTTCTTAAGATCCATTAACCTCCATAGACCTGGCTGACTCTCAACCAGGAACATACAAGCAATCATGGACAGATACCAATGACCCAGACAGCCTAATGTCACAATGGAACAGTTGATCAGCAAAAATGTAAACATCGCAGGATTATTTTGAGAGATGGGTGAAAATAGAAGGTGATTTTGGACTCATGTCATCATTTTACCAGGGCGGAAGCAGCTATTTCAAGAAAATGACTTCAAGAAGTTGCACAATTTCCACAGAGCAAGGAATAGAAGAGACATAAATGAGGTGGTGGCAAGAGAGTCAGAAGATTCCACTGAAGTCACTTGAGTCTTTTAGAAGCACAGAAGAGAATCTAGATTTAAGTTAAGCCTGTGGCAAACTAGTGTTTCTAATAAGAGAAACAACAGAATTCATTTGTTTTAGAAAAACTTATCCCAGAGGGAAGCTGAAAACATTGCAAAGGACCAAAGCATGGAAGAAGTGCTGTAGCAGAATCCAGCACGCTTTCCCTCTTCTTTAGAGACTGAACACATAACCAAAAATAAATTACAAATGAAGAAAAGGAAACTTACTAGTTTGAGTAAGGCTTAGAGAACAGAATGGCAGTAATGGCTGCAAGGGTGGAAAGAGGGAAGCAAGTTCTAATTTACTGACATAGAGAGAGTCTCAAAGTTTAATGGGATAAGGGGGATGGGGAGGTAGAAGATGGTCACTGTCACAGGGGGAGCATAGTGGAGAGCATGGAATGAACAGAACAGGGACACCAGATCTGGACAGTGTGGTTGCAATGCAGTGGTCTCCACTCACTGATCATGTGATCTTGGCAAAGTGCGAACTCCTCGTGCCTCAGTTCCCACATCTGTAAAGTGAGTGCAGTGACAGAGCCTACCTCGCAGGTTGTCATCAAGAGTAAATTTATAATATATAAAAATCACAAAATACTAAATCGGTGTCTTGGTACACAGCCAGAGCTATACAAAGGCAGAAATCATTATGCAGAGAATTAATTTATTTATTGAATGTTGGACTCTGAAGAATATTAAAATCACTGTGGAGAAACACCTACAGTAGTCAAGAACGAGGGAGAAAAATGTAGGACAGGCCATCCCTGCCACAGGGCTTAGGCTGACTGGGAGCTTGTGTTGCTGGGTTCCCGTGAACAGCAAAGAAGTTTTCTGGGGTGCATAGGGCAAAGCAGGTGTGCAGAAGATGTCTACTGGGGAGCCCCAGGCTTGAGGTAGAGTCGAAGAACTGTGCTCTTTATGAGTCACTATCTGGGCTCCAGGATCATGAATGTGGGGGAAATGGAACCATCTAAGAACCTCTGATCAAAATGTTCTCTGCACCCTGAAGAGAGTACCCCATTCACTCTAAATAATCTCTCATCTGAAACTTTAAGCACTTCGTTGCTTGGTCACTTCTTCCAAGTAGTCCAGCCTGTTCTGGGTGATGGAGATGTGGCGAGATCAGTTATCCTGCACAGGCACCTACAGCTGACCTTCTTTTCTATGACAAAGCTTTCTCATGGGGAGTGATGCTGTATAAAATGCCATGGTGGTGGGCATGGTTCTCTGTGAGTTCGTGGATGGTGATGGTGGCAGAAGAATCCTAGCAGGGAAAGTAAATCCATACCCAGAATACAGATCTATTGCACTGACAACAAACCTCTGCTTCCCCCCAGGGTGAGACACACCCTTTGTGATCTAACCCCCCTGCTCTCCGTGAGTGTGGCTTGTTCTCTTGGGAGCGTGCCTTCTTGTGAGCTAAGTGTTGATTACATCTGATATTGGGGATGGTTAGGTTGAGCTCTGTGGAGGCACACTGTGTGTTCTTTTCCTGGGAGTGCAGTAACACATTGCAAAAGGCACAGTGGCATAACAACACAAGTGTATTTTCTAATGGTTCTGACTGAGCTCAGAGCTCTAGCATGGCTTTCAGGGCTGTGTTCCTCCTGCAGGCCCTGGGGAGAGTATGTTTGTCCTGTTTTCAAGTTTTCAAGCACCTCCTTCCCATGTACAGAGAGCCCTTCTTACCTGTTTAAACCCAGCAGTATGAAGCAACAGAAAGTGAGCCCCCAGCAATGAGCTCTCAGCTAATGCTGAGCAAATTGTTAATGTTCTGTTTTCTTGCTCAAGTTCTTACACTATAGTGTCTTTTTGTCACCTGTCTCATGCCATAGCTTTTTCTTCTTTGGAATTTTTGATTTCATAATTTTGGGGGATTATAATGACCCTTCATCTAAGCATAGTACTGGAATACTGTTTAGTGTTCCTAAATATTAAAAGGTTATGATGTATTTTACGGAGGAAATCTTCACATAGGTGTGTATTTTAGAGTCCTTGAATATGTACTGAACATTAATGAATCAGCAATATATGTTAAATAGGAGTCTTAAAATAGAAACACAACATTTGATTGTAGTTATTGGTCAAGCATTGGATAAGCATGTAGCTAGCTGGAAGCAGAAAGCAACATAACTCTTTAAGTTACGTTATTTTCTCTAAGTTGATGGCACACTATTTGCTACTTCAGTGTTTCCTTGACTTTATAGAACAAAATTATATCTTAAATAACTCAAACTGATGAAATATGTTATATTGGAAGTAAAAAACAATGTCTGCCAAACATTGTGGTGAGCAGTGTGTGGTCCACCGACCTGTCTTGCCCTTCAGAAGAGATGGTTAAATATTTTCTGTTGGGAGAAAGAATCCTCAGAAACTTTTCTGAGGTCTTGGGCGTCTCAATTTTTTTAGTGAAATGTATCTCCTGCTCTTTTATTTTGCATCTATCTGGTGAGACATCTCTCCCAGTTTTCCCTATATTGATTGTTGGCTGCCAATTCACTCTTCAGTGCCCACTGTAAGAAAGTAGAAATGGTTCTTTTTAAGTAGTTCTCTTTTGTTGACTGGTATAATTTTAACCCTTGACTATAAAGTCAAGGAAACACTGAAAAACACTGAAGTAGCAAATAGTGTGCCAGCAACTTAGAGAAAATAACGTAACTTAAAGAGTTATGTTGCTTTCTGCTTCCAGCTAGCTACATGCTTATCCAATGCTTGACCAATAACTACAATCAAATGTTGTGTTTCTATTTTATCTGCAGAGGATCTGGAAATACATGAGAAGATGATGAAGTCTTTCGGGTTCTTTATTCTCTCCTCCAGTTCCTGTTGCTTGTCACTTCTCCAGTATTAGTTCCT